TATATGTATATATATATATATATAGTGTGTGTATATATATATATATATATTGTGTGTGTGTGTGTGTGTGTATATATATATATGTATATATATATATATATGTATGTATGTATGTATGTATGTATGTATGCATGCATGTGTATATATGTATATATAGACAGAGAGAGACAGACAGACGGAGAGAGACAGACAGACAGAGAGAGAGACAGAGACAGAGAGTGAGAGTGAGAGTTTCATTTTGAATGGACAAAGATGAAGCATTCATTCAACCTTTAATTATACAGGTTAGTCCCACTGAGCCTCAGGGACTCATTCGACATGGACAGACACTGAGTGAAATAAGTATTTGATCTTCAAGAAAAACATGACTCGGTACTTAGTGCAGAAACCTCTGGTGGCAGCACAACAACAATTTCTTCAAGAAATTTTCCAAATCCTTTAGATTTGTTGGCTGCGACATTTCAGCTCCCTCCACAGATTGTCTACAGGAATAAGGTCTGGAGCACGGCTGGATCTCTCTGTGACCAGAATATTGTTCATCTTGAACCTCTACTTTGTTGACTTGTGGTATGTTTTTGTCGTCATTGTCACCCTGAAAGATCCCTCCATAACTTTTCAGTGTTCTGGCTGAGGGAAAAATGTTTTCATCTGAGAGTTTATGGTAAATTACCCCATCCACTGGCCCCTCGATGTGGTGAAGTTGTCTTCTAGCCTTAGCAGAAAAACAGTCCCAAACCATAATGTCTCCACCTTTGTGCTTGTCTCTGAGGATAACGTCCTACAGGCCATACTCAGCATTTCTATTCCTGTAAACATGGCTGTTTCACTTGATGCCAAAGAGCTGATTTATGGTCTCATCTGACCGCAGCATTTTTTCCCAACCTTCACTGAATCATCTAGATGGTAAACTTAAGACAGACCTGAACATGCGACTTCTTCCACAGGGGGACCATGAAGGTCCTGTAAGGTTTTAATCTACTGTGGCATAGTGTCCTACCATTGGTTTAGTTGGAGACTGTGGCCCCAGCTGTCTTCAGAACATTAACAAGCACCAAAGCTGTAACTGAGGGCTGATCCCTCATCGTTCTTATCATCCTCAGCCCTGTGACATGGAGCTCCAGACCAAGGTCTTCTGATGGTCATGGACTATTTATTCCATGCGTGAATGGACCAGCATCTGCTGAAGGTCTTGTATCTCATTCCAGCCTTGTGCAGATCTAATGTTTGTCTCTGACCTCTTTTGACAGCTCTTTGGTCTCATCTGTGGTGGTGGAGAGGTTGGAGTGGAAGATACTGGTTCTGTGAACATCTGGACTTTAGAACCAGTTCAGATTAGGATTGATTGGTTTGGTTGGTTGGTTAGTTAGCTAGGTAATTGGTTAGATGGCTAGTTAGTTTGTTTGTTGATTGGTAGATTGGAACTTTGGTTAATTGACTGGTTGGATGTTGATTAGTTAGTTAGTCGGTTGGTCAATATGTTAATTGGTTGGTTGGTTGGTTGGTGTTTTTTTGGTTAATTGGTTGGTTGGTTTGGTGTTTGTTTGTTTTATTAATTGGTTGGTCAATATCGGTATGCTAACTGGTTGGTTGGTTAATATGTTGGTTAGTTGGTTAGTGTTTGTTTAATTGATTGGTTGGTTAATTGGGTTGTTTGTTTGTTGGTTGGTTGGTTGGTTGGATGGTATCTGTGTTCCACATGAGCACATGACAAATATCTGGTAACCAAACATCTGGCTAAGTTGTTAGGATCAAATACTTTTTTTAACAAAAACACGCAATCCAGGGGAGGATGCTGGTCAGACCTGGCAGGCACAACAAACATATTGTAAGTTTCTGCTGAGAACATCCATGAGACGGAGCTTTAAGTCCCACTTCCGGGAGAACTTTGAACACGTTCCAGGGGAGGTGGGGGATATTGAGTCCGAGTGGGCCATGTTCCGTGCCTCTATTGTTGAGGCGGCTTACCAAAGCTGTGACCGCAAGGTTGTCGATGCCTGTCATGGCGGCAACCCTCGAACACCGACGTGAGGGATTCTGTCAGGCTGAAGAAGGCGTCCTATCACCAACACTATACCACCAACACTGTTTATAGTGGAGGTGGTATGCTGCTGACCTCAACTCGGGATGTCGTGGTTCGGTGGGTGGAGTACTTCGAAGACCTCCTCAATCCCACCAGCACATCTTCCACTAAGGAAGCGGAGCCTGAGGACTTTGGGTTGGGCTCTCCAATCTCTGTTGCTGAGGTTGCCAAGGTGGTTAAAAAGCTCCTTGGTTGCAGGGCCCCAGGCCTGCATGAGATTCGTCCGGAGTTCCTTAAGGCTCTGGATGTTGTGGGTTTTTGTTGGCTTACACAACTCTGCAATATTGCGTGGACATGGGGGGCAGTTCCCCTGGATTGGCAGACAGGGGTGGTGGTCCCCCTATTCAAAAAGGGGGACCGTAGAGTGTGTTCCATCTACAGGAGGATCATGCTCTTAAGCCTCCCTGATAAGGTCTATTCAGGGGTTCTGGAGAGGAAGGTCTGTCAGATAGTCGAAACTCGGATTCAGGAGAACCATTGTGGTTTTTGTTCTGGTAGTAGAACACTGGACCAGCTCCTCAGCAGGGTCCTGGAGGGTGCTTGGGAGTTTGCCCAACCAGTTTACATGTGCTTTGTAAACTTGGAGAAGGCGTTCGACCACGTCCCTCGGGGAACCCTGTGGGGGTTACTCCGGGAGTATGGGGTACCAGGCCCTTTGATACGGGCTGTGTGACCGGTGTCAGAGCTTGGTCCACATTGCCAGCAGTAAGTCGGGCTCGTTCACAGTGAGAGTTGGACCCCGCCAAGGTAGCCCTTTGTCACCGATTCTGTTCATGACTTTTATGGACAGAATTTCTAGGTGCAGCCAAGGTGTTGAGCGGATCCATTTTGGTGGTCTTAGGATCACTTCTCTGTTTTTTGCAGATGATGTGGTCTTATTGGCTTCATCGGGTCGTGATCTACAGCTTTCGCTGGAGCAGTTTGCAGCCGAGTGTGACGCGGCCGGGATGAGGATAGGTTCTTCCAAATCCGAGGCCATGGTCTTGAGCCGGAAAATGGTAGAGTGCCCTCTCCAGGTCGGGGAGGAGGTCCTGTCCCAAGTGAAGGAGTTCAAATATCTTGAGTTCTTGTTCACAAATGAGGGAAAAATGGAGCGAGAGATCGGTAGGCGGATAGGTGCGACGTCTGCAGTGAAGCGGGCACTGTACCGGTCTGTTGTGGTGAAGAGAGAGCTGAGTCAAAAGGCGAAGCTCTCATTTTACTGGTCGTTCTACATTCCTACCCTCATCTATGGTCATGAGCTTTGGGTTGTGACGAAAGAACGAGATCTCAGATACAAGCGGCCAAAATGAGTTTTCTCTGCAGGGTGTCTGGGCTCTCCCTTAGAGATTGATTGAGAAGCTATGTCATCCAGGAGGGACTCAGAATAGAGCTTCTCCATGTTGAGAGAAGCCAGATGAGGTGGCTCGGGCTTCTGGATAGGATGCCTCCTGGATACCTCCCTGGTGAGTTGTTCCAGACACGTCTCACCGGGAAGAGACCCAGAGGAAGACCCAGGACACGCTGGAGGGACTATGTTTCTTGGCTGGCTTGGGAACGCCACGGGATTCCCCCGGAGGAGCTGGCCCAAGTGGCTGGGGAGAGGGAAGTCTGGGCCTCCCTACTTAGGCTGCTACCCCTGCGACCCAACTCCGGATAAGCAGAAGAAAATGGATGAATGGATAGATGGATGGATGGATGGATGGATGGATGGATGGATGGATGGATGGATGGATGGATGGATGCAATCCAGTTTTTATCCTGATGCATGCTCAATAATTCAGGTAGAAAAAAAAAGTTAAATCTTGTCCTTTGGACATTAAAAAAAATAAAAATTTGTAGAAACGTTTCGTCTTTCATCCGAAAGACTTCTTCAGTCTGAGTTGCTGTAATTCAGCTCAGTCTTATAAATAGCACCTTCTTGTAGTGGATCAACCAGTTTGCTGCTGACAGCCAAAACCAGCTGCTCACATGATCAAGGAGGACCATCAGCCTAACGATGGATCGTTAGCACCCAGTGGCTGTTTACCCCAAAATACATTACGGCAAAGACTGGTTCATCCCAAAGATCCAGTCCCCCGGCACAAACAGAGTAATATTGTGTATGCTGTTCAGTGTCAGGAGGGCTGTGATCAGTCTTACATCAGGAAAACTAAACAGCCACTGGCCAAAAGGATGACCCAGCACAGAAGATCAACATCATCAGGCCAGGGCTCTGTGGTCTACACTCATCTCCAGGCCAGCGATCACTCTTTCAGGGATGAAGATGTTCACATCCTGGACAGAGAGGAACGATGGTTTGAGAGAGGAGTAAAGGAGGCCATCTTTGTGAAAAGAAACAGTCCATCATTAAACAGGGGTGGAGGCCTCCGGGTTCAATTGTCCCGCTCTTACAATGCTGTTATTGCTAGTATCACTCAGCCCTTTGTGAATAGTAAACAGCCATCAGTGTGCTAATGATCCATTGTTAGGCTGATGGTCCTTCTTGATCATGTGATCAGCTGGTTTTGGTTGTCAGCAGCAAACTGGTTGATCCACTCTGAAAAGGTGCTATTTAAGAGACTGAGCTGAATACAGCACCTCAGACTGAGGAAGTCTTTCAGATGAGAGACGAAATGTTTATACAATTTTTTTTTTTAATGTCCAGAGGACCAGATTTAACTTTTTTGGAATCCAGTTTTTATTTTTCAAATACTGTAATGAATTATTTGGATTTATATTTGATATTTTTTATCTCTATTAAAATGAGACAACAAAAATTAAGATTGTTCATTTCTTAGTAAGTAGGAAAGTAACAAAGCCAGGAAGGGATCAGGTAATGTTCCTGTCACTGCAGATCGTCCTACTGACACTGACTTTTTGGAATAAAGACGTTAATCTCAGAGATTGATAAAACGTTGTTGAAGTTGTTGCCTGATGCTTGTTCTGTTTCCCTCTCCAGATACAACAGTTTGTTGACAAGCCAACGAGCTCAAGGTGTCATCACCATCTGCTGGGCTCTATCCATCATCATTGGTCTGACCCCCATGATGGGCTGGTACAAAAAAGAGCTGCCCAAAAGCACCAACAACAGCTGCTCACCTGGCTTCATGAGGTGCCTGTTTGAGGAGGTGGTGGACATGGAGTACATGGTCTACTTCAACTTTTTTGCTTGTGTACTCATCCCCCTCCTGCTGATGCTGGCCATCTACTTGTGTATCTTCATGGCAGCACGCCACCAGCTGAGGCTGATCAAAATGGAAGTGGTTTATGGAGAGAAGTCACGCTCCACTCTGCAAAAAGAAATTCAGGTGGCCAAGTCTCTGGCCATCATTGTGGGCCTGTTTGCTGTCTGCTGGCTGCCTCTGCACATCATCAACTGCTTCAACCTGTTCTGCCCACAATGCCAGCGTCCTCCTCTTTGGGTCATGTACGTGGCCATCATCCTCTCCCATGCCAACTCTGTGATCAACCCCTTTATCTACGCCTACCGCATCCGGGAGTTCCAAAAGACCTTCTGTAAGATTATCCGTCGCCACATCCTGGGCCAGCAGCAGGTGTTGAAGAGCAGCGGCAGCGAGCGCAACTCTACTCACAACAGCATTGCGGGCTCCATCAGGCTCCACCCAAACACCCTCAACTCTGACCTTTTTGCAGAGCAAAGCAACAGTAAAAACTCCTACTGCTGTCCTGCTCATATTCCACCTGTAGGGAGCAGCCTGTTGGCAATGGCTCAGTCCCCTCTGTCAGTCGTCATCGCCCACTGCTCTCAGACGAAGCTATGTGCGCTGCATGCTCTCAGACAGACTGAAGTCCCTCTGGCCCATCATCATCGACATTCTGAGGAGCAGGAGCACAGCTGCACAGGAGCAGAGGTCTTGGAGGAAATGGACAAAGTGAACCTTGACTTGGATCAGGCCTCACCACTGTTCAACAAGCAAAACAGGAAGACTTGTTTTTGTGAGCTGGAAAGGGAGTCATGACACAAAAGCCAGGAGAGGACAGCTGTTAATTCAGCAGCACTGTGATTAAACGTCAGCTCAGGATCGGAGAGGAGATACCAGCTGATAAATGTCACCAGGATAAAATAAATCTGCTTTCCACCAGAAAAATAAAACTGCCTGCAGGGTTTAAAATACTGCAACTTTTTAATTGAATCCAGAGTAAGAGCTTAAAAGTGCTGCTCTTGGTTCAAACTGCTTTGTAACGTGACAGGATGGTATAATACGATTCGGCAGCTGACACTTCTGTTTGGGCTCATCACTCACAAGAATTTTACACTTTTGTTTCAGCAGAGCAGACCTGTGAAAACAAACATTCAGACCGATGGGGGTCATAAAGGTGGCGTCTCACTGGGCTGGGGCTGTTGGTTACCAGTTGACAACTAAAAATTTCAAGAAAATCTGTGAATGTTTGTCATTGCAGTGTCATTGAACCCTGAGTTTTTGTGAGCAGAGACTTTCAAAACTGTATTTTTGGCCAATCGCATAGTTTTGTTATCCACTTCTCCCCAGATCGTACGTGCCTCTGGTTGTTTTGTACCATCTTGACATTCAGCCCCAGTTGGTGTGTGGGTGGGTGTGATAAAAAAAAAAAGGATGAAGCATTGCTTCCTTTACCGCAAGTTCAACTTTGTTGTACAATAATGTGGCTTGTTGTTTTATATTAAAGTCATTATGCACATGATAGTTGTAGATTGTGTTGTTGCAAGAAAAATAAACTTTTTTTTTGTTTCATACTTTTTTACATTCTTTTGTTGTAATTCACACTTCTTCTTTTTTACTTAAACTTTCACTTTTGTTTAGCACCCCAGAGCTTCCTGTGCAGTTGCTTGTTAACCCAGGCGGTTTGGACCGGTTGTTGGCCTGAGCGCCTCGCATGTTTTTGATGCTGAGGCACAGTTTAGTAACGCAGCTCTGAAACGTCATGTGATTATTCTGTTTTCTCAGCGTGACACTGTTTTGTTAAATTTGTGCAAATGTCACCATGGTGTAATGAATGTGGAGGTAGTTTTAAAAGGTTTGTTGGGACTGAATAGACCTCAGTCTTATTTGGATCATCTTGTGTTTGATGAATTTGTTCAAGTCTCGCCTTTTACCATATCAAATTGTACTTTAAGTCATTTTTATCTGCTTTGACCTCAATCATTCCAGACATTATTCGGTAAAGCTTCAGACTTTCCACAGCTTTTTGAGCAGGGACTTATTTTTATTTATTTATGTATTTTTATCACATCTGGGAGCTTGAGGGGTCGTAGATCTGGAAAATGGTTCATTAGTCCATCCAACTTTCTTTAGACTTCTTTATTTTCTCAGCTTTTATCACTGCGGCCCTGCTGGCTCAGGTTCCAGGACTCAGGCTGAACATGGTTGAGGGATTATAATCTGTCCCCAGAGTCCTGGAGCCTCATGTATGAGCACAAACAAGGTTGCATGTGCCAGGTTCCATGCTTATGTTGGGATGTATCAAAACAGACGTTGCTGTTCTCCACGCAAACTTTTTCAGTCCGCAGTTTCAAACTACAAGCATGGAAACTCACAAATACACCAAAATATGTCTGTTCAGTTTCCTGAACCCAGCAGACTTTAAAACATGTTGTTCATGAGTTTGAGCATTTATGGTTTAAAGCTGAACAAGGAAACAGAAACTCATACATATAACCTACAACAAACGACCCGCCTGAAATTACCAACTGCGTCACTGTGCCGTCCATCAAAACACAAATGATTGTGATATGAATATACAAGTCGATGAGCCAATCCTGCTTCCATTAGCACATTGATTTTACTGGGAAATTCACAAAAATAGGGATTGCAATAAAATAACACTATAAATTTAAGTGAAAGTCTGATTTAGTAATCAGATCTTCTAAGCTTTCCAAACCATCCAGGATCCTCAGAGAGTGTGTTGGTATAGGAGCCATGAAAGAAGTCATGGCTTTGTTTGAAGTGAATCGAGAGTCAATTCACCTCACAAGACCCACGGAGCATGTGGGGGGGCATTAAGTGTATAACACATAAAGGCAGGAGTGAACAATGCCCTAAAGACACATCATTACCAGATGCCCTCAACAAGTTCTACGCACGCTTTGAAGATCCGAACAGACCACCCAGCACCAGACTCACCTCACCATCGGATGAAGAGCTTCGCAGTGTGACCTCAGCAAAAGTAAGGAGTACTTTCAGGAGGAATAATTCTCACAACGCAACTGGCCCAGACAACATCCCCGGAAAAGTGTTGAAAGAATGTGCTGATCAGCTCTGTGAGGTGCTGGCTGACATCTTTAACACCTCACTTACCCTGGAGACAGTCCCACCTGCCTGAAGACTGCCACCATCATCCCAGTCCCAAAGATGTCTACAGTGACTGGTCTGATGACTATCGGCCAGTGGCCATCACCCCGATAGTCGCAAAATTCTTCGAAAAACTGGTCATGACTCACATCAAAACAACCATCAACATCAGCGAGGACCCTCATCAGTATGCATACCGTGAGAACCGAGCAACAGAGGATGCCATCTCCTCTGTGGTCCACACTGTGCTCAACCACCTGGAGCAGAAAGACTCCTATGTCCGTATGCTCTTTGTGGACTTCACGTCTGCCTTCAACACCATGAGCCCCCAAACCCTGATGAACAAACTACTCACACTAGGACTAAGCCCCTCCATTTGCAACTGGGTCCTGGATTTCTTAACAAACAGACCACAGTCAGTGAGGATCCACAGCTTCTCCTCCTCCACCATAACCCTCAGCACTGGCTCTTCTCAGGGATGTGTACTGAGCCCTCTCCTGTTCACTCTGCTCACGTAAGATTGTGCAGCTGCCCATCCAGGCTGTCATATTGTAAAGTTTGCAGATGATACAGCAGTGGTGGGATGCATCACAAACAATGATGAGTCCAGCTACAGGCAAGAGGTGGAACACCTGGAGAGCTGGTGCAAAGAGAATAACCTTCACATCAATGTGAAGAAGACAAAGGAGATGATTGTGGACTTCAGAAGGAACAAACACCCCACCACCACCACCCACCCCCGAATATAAGAGGATCTGAAGTGGAAGTGGTCTAATGACAACCTCAGTTGGGGCAACAACATCACCAGCCTGATCAAGAAAGCTCATCAGAGACTCTTCTTCCTCAGGCAACTGAGACGAGCTGGTCTGGGAAGCTCAGTCCTCACCTCCTTCTACAGGTGTGCAGTGGAGAGCATCCTGTGCTCCAGCATCAACGTGTGGCACGGAGGCTGCACAGCTGCAGAAAGAAAAGCTTTGCAGAGAGTGGTGAAGGCTGCACAGAAGTCTGTTGGAGTCAGCCTCCCCACCATCACAGACATCTACACCTCCAGATGCAGGAAGAGGGCTACCTGCATCATGAAGGACCCCACTCACCCAGCACACACATTTTTTGCCCCGCTCCCCTCAGGAAGGAGGTTAAGGTGCATTAAGTGTAGAATAATAATAATAACTTTAATTTATAACACACTTTCCATTCACTACAGCTCTCAAAATGCTACAATGAGTGAATATCAGATAATATCAAAGCAAAAGCAAGCACAAAGAGCAACTGAGAGGAGGAACAACCAGGAGGATAATGCCTCCGAAAAATCGCATCAAAACTCAAAATGCAGATAAACTACTCAAATAAGAACAAATAGAACCACTAGAATGAGGAACAGCTTCTACCCTGAGGCTGTTAGACTCATGAATCTCTAACCAGAATAATCACTGTGAAAAATCACATGTTGCTGCTGATCTGTTTCATGTTGCTTTGTTCATTCGTGCTCATCTGCTCACATAGACTCGTGTTCGTGCTGCTGTTTGGCGTATTGTTTTTATGTTATTAGTATTTTTAGTTTATGTTTTTCTTACTTCATATCTTAGATCTTATTACTGTTTTTCTTTTACATCTTATTGTTGGATTTAACTGGGACCCTGTGTACATAATTTCGTTCCACCACATGTACCACATGTGGTGTGAATGACAAAGAATCTCTGAATCTGAATTTGTTCTTCCAGCTATTGCCCTTCTTGCTCTTTCTGTCAGAAACTTCTGAACCATCATGAAGTGGTTCTGATGGACCAGGTCAGCGGTTCAATTTGATCCAGTTTGATCTGGCTCCCTCTGCTCGCCAGTCTTCAACACTACAGCTGTATGAAACAAAGAACAAAGGTTCCACTTGCACCTTGAACATTTTAACAGTTTTCTTATGTAATTAGGAGAAAAGTAGCTGAAAGCAAAACACAAAAAGCTGAAATTAGCAAAAAGAAGCTGAAACAAGCACAAATAAATGCAAAATTTGTTCAAAGGTAGCGGAAAAATAGCTGAAATTAGAAGACAATAAGCTGAAATGTAGCTGATAAAAGCTAAAATTTGCAGAAAGTAGCTGAAAACAAAATACAAAAAGCTAAAATTAGCAGAAAAAACTGAACAGAGCACACATAAACACTAAATTAGTTTCAAAGTAGCAGAAAATACTGGGAAAAAGCTCAAATTAGCAGAAAGTTGGAGAAAAATATTTCCGCTTTATCTCACTCAAAAGGATCACACGATAACAGGAGAAGATTTTTAACTGGTTTTTACTTGCAAGGACAGTTCTATTTCGTATAGGCTTCACCCTTTAAGGCTGTCGCTCATGGGTTTATCCCGTTATGCGAAGCATCACACTGAAAAAATTTAGTCCACGCCCACATGCTGTGTGGACCCCACCCGATCCGTATAAGTTACGTTAAGAGCGGGTAATCGGCTCCCATTTTTCTTCAACAAGCTAACAACACTGACCTTCAACAAGATGTCCAGCTCCAACACCATCCGCTTGTGTCCATCCTGCAAGACCGGTTACTTGCTTAGCTTTGACCGGCACAACACCTGTGAGGGATGCCTGGGTCCCTGCCATGTCGCCCGCGCTTCCTCCTGCTGCCTCTGTGACGATCTTCCACCGGAGGAAAGGCAGAGGAGAGCAGCCTTGTTTAAGGCTAACGTCGAGGACTGTC